GGCGCCAGTGCCGTAAATACGCCGCGTTTCACGTTTTTCTAAAAAGGGATTTTTTTTAATTTGAAATTTTTCGGAAAATAAAAATTGAACCGTTGCTTCTGAACAGATAACGCTGCCGCGTTCATCCGGGCCGTGATGTAATTCGGCGAACCAAAATGCACTTATTTGTCGTACAATTTAAATCGGATGATTTGTTGCGGTCCTATTTAGCCTCTATTCGGTGGAAAGCGTCTCTAAGATGGATGGGGGGGGGGGGGAGGAGGTCGGCCGATGTAAAATGACTGCTGTATAACTTTCTTAACGGAAACATTAACCTGCGCCAAGGTTTAAATTAATCTCGGTGTGAAAAAAAAATACTGACTGCGTAACATCTCAAAACGCAAAACATAATGCGCACGTTTCGTTCTTGGTAGAATAGTATTCCCTTCGTCTTCATATGGTTCCATGTCCATTTTGTTAAGCTACAGATTAACACCGTCACACTGGCTCAAAGATCGCCAACACGTCACGGCTCTTTCAACTCATTGTGAAACTTGGCGGTTTGGAGAGCAAATCGCAAATCTCCTGGAATGGTCCAAGCTTGCAAAGCAACGGCTGCATCGATCGTCTGCATCACCGGAGAACCAACATCGGCCAATCACACGCCAGGATAGTTGAGGTCGTATAACTTCCCGAAACGGTATTAAGAATGCCCATGATTTACTCATGAAAGCCACACCGAGTCTCAGGGACTGATTTTCAGGAGAGTCCCTGCCGTATTTGGATTGTTTGGGCCGATTGCGTGTCCAAGTGTTGGGCTTCGTAAGCGCAGGAAATTGGGAGAACCCGGAGGAAAAAAAAGACACCACTCAGAGAGGGCGTCACACTCGGGAGCTGCACACACAGATTAAATCCACAGACTAAATTCATTGAGCGAAGCAAATCAATCTGTGGACCCACGCTCATGTGCTCGACTATCTCCTGGCACCTCTCAGCCCTCGCAATGGTACGCCCACAACAACACCTGGTGGTCACCCACCCAAAGCTTCCAAGACGGGGTGCATTATAAATAATTTGGCCAAAATCCAATCAAAATCAGCAGTACGAGAAACACCGCCAAGGCTAGGCATTATCGTTCCGCTTAGCAAAGCAAAACTCGAGAGCAACATCCCGCACATGCGATTGGCTTCCAAAAGAGAGATTGGCACGACTGCCGTAAGTAATTTTGGAATTATCCAGATCTTCACCCGCCAAACGATGATTTAAAGTGACAATAAATCAAATGAAGCCGCGCCACGCAGATCGATTCCTCTCCGGACTTATATCGCTGGTGCATTTTAACGCTTCTCCGGTGTTCGCAATATCCGATTGCGCTTTGCGTTCAGTAAATCGCCGCGAGCGATCTGGCCGGACAGAGGCTGTGGCCATGCCGACGGAGAAACAGCGTTTAAAGTGATTTTTTTTTCTCTTTACTCTCACATGTAAGCGTAAATCACAGACACACAGTTTCACTAAAAAGCCGACCATGCGGAAAGCAAGACAGGTGTTTGTGTTGGAAACCCACCGGCCGAGCCCCTAAGCGGACTCCGAATAGCCCCCTAGCTCTCCCCCTACACACGCCTCTGCCTTGGATGCTTTTAAAAAAAATAGACTTTACAATATCCCACAAGTTTCCTTTCCCCCACAGGATAGCACGCCGAGGCTCTACGAGCCCAAGAGATGATTACGGGCGGAAGTTAGCCTTGTGTTAAAATCTATTTTTTTTTTTTGGAGTAACATGCGTGACAATAATTTTGCGGTTTACATTCTAAAAAAATAAAGTAAAAATTTGCAGGAACCGGCGGGAGTTGGTTAACCGCACCGCGTCCGTCCGTATAAACGTCGGCAAACGCCTTCCGATCCCTCCATCCACCTCCCCCCCCCCCCGCCTCACACAAAATCCTCGCTACAATTCATGACGGATTTATCTACGAGGGGCGACGGCGTCGCGGCTCTGTGGGCGGGAACGCTGCGGCGAGACTGGAGGCGATTCCCAACGGCCGCAACTTGTCCTAAATAAATGCCCACCGCTTCGGTCACGGGATCGGATCAAGCTACCACGCGTACGAACCGTGTGTTCGCGACAGAAGCTATTCAGAACCGAGTGGGTGTGGCCATCGGTGGAAGCGGCTCCCCCTCTGACGTCATCTCTCTGGCCAGGCTCTCTCTCCAAGTGCCATGGTGGCAGGGGATGAAGTTTTGGGCGAGAAGCAGAATGGAGCAGGGCTTTCCTTGAGGCCAAGTAAGTGGATATATGAACCTTATGACGGTACCCCGGCTCTCGCATGTCCGTGATGCAGCGATTTTTAGTCTGTTGATGGTCGGCAATGCGGCAATCGGCTCGTCTCGACGAGCTGTACACGATGCACCGCTACGGTGCGTACGGGCGTTCAGGGTTTCGGCACAATCGTCCTCGCTGCGTTTCGACATCGCGGAGTGTGGCACTGATTTCGGAGTGAAGTTCACCCCTGGACAAAAAATAGTGTCCCAGAAATAACAGATTTAATTGCCTCGGCCATTTTGTATTATTTGGTACCCCACCGCCATAAGGATCATATAATTAGTTCTGAACAGATCAGTTAAGGTCAGAAGAGACCCGATCAGAACGAACGCTCTCATGTAAATGTATCGGATGCATCGAAGTGGCCGTTTGATAACGAGAGCACGGGGGGAGAGCGAGGGGGGGGCTGTTGTGTACCCCAGTGTGGCCACGCGTTTATCACGGCCGCGAGTGGGAAAGCATCGAGGCCGACACTGTGGGAGCCCAGAGAGGTGGGTTCACGAACCATGGGCAGATGTGTCCGAAGACTCATGGTCCCCCACTAAAATCCAGCCGCAATCGAGTTCCTGAAAGTGCTGGTATTTAACTGAAGCTTAAAGTAACCATTATAACAGGATCAGAATAGAACCAATGCTAATCCACTGCTGTAAGGGTGATGACTAATTAATCCTTTCACACCAAAGAGGCATTCGGGCCAATAATTGTTTCACCACCCCCCCCCCCAAGCTTTGGAGTAATTAACGACCACTTACCAAATGTGTTACAATTACCGCGTTTTGCTGGCTCAGCCGAACTCGCCGCCCACTCTCCCCTCTGGAGCCCACGCGGTCAACACGGCGCACCTGGGGAGGAGCTTCCACCCCACGGGCCGCACATTCACCGAAGGACACGGCCACAGGATGACCCCAATCGGAGCCACACGACCCCAACCGCAGGCCCCCCCACGCCTTTCCCGAGTGCCGACCTCTCAAGGTTAACAAAGACAAGACAAAGAGCCCCCCGTGTAGCCTTCACAGACTGTTGGGGCAAGCGCTGTTAGCGAGCAGCACCTATGTAGGCCGGCACGGTACACGAGGGGGTGGGTGGCCAGCACCGCGCCCGACCGCCTTTGTCTCCCCCAGTGGCGATGTTTACACACCGCACCAGGTACTCATGTGAGGCCGAGTCGACCTAGGGGAGGAGGGCCCAGGACGGGTTCAGATAATCGTCACCGGTGTTGGCCTTGAATGTGAATCGAAACTCGGATTACAGGACTCGTAGAGCAGTGCACTAACCACTACAAAACCTGCTCCCGGTCTTTGTCAAGGTGAACACCACCACCCCCCCACACACCCAGCCCTCACGCACACTCGCGTTGTTTTGTTACAAGTTCGACATTAAGTCGAGAAGTTCGTTTGAACCAGGGCTTACATAAACACGGCAGTTCACCGTGTACAGATCCTTCACGTTTGCGACCCCGCGTGCGCTTTTGCCAACGGCGGACTCTCTGCGAACGTTGGGCAAACGTGGAGGAGCGGCAGAGGCTTTGACTTGAGCTTTGAGAAACCCTGGGAGGGGGGGGGGGGGGAGGGGGGGGTGTTACCCCACGCCACACCGGGAGTCTGGATTAATTAGTGGAGGGAGGGGGGGGCTAATTAACACGTCTTGCTCTAAGCATTGGACCGTTTGGTTTTAGTCAGCGATGCAAACACAAGCAAACACGCGCGCATACATACATACACACACACGCGCGCGCGCACACACACATGTACGTACACTAACGCGTATATACAGCATATATATTTATATACACTGTATACACACACACACAGAGGACTCGGATAGTCAAAGATTTCAAACTAATAAACCTACTAGGGGGTTTTGTTTTTTTTAAAGCTGGCTCTGATTGGCCGAAATTGGCCGCATGATTGGGGTCTGCGTCAAAGACTAACAACGGGCAGCCCGAGCAAAGCGGTGTTTCCTCCTCCATCTCGGCTCGTTACTGTAAAACAAACACTCTTCTGCGAAGCTAAAGTGCTGCCCCCCCCCTTACAAATGTCACTCTAACCCGCCGCCTGCCAAGGCCAACCCAGGCCATGTGTGCCACCGGTGTCGCTGGAACGGGAGCTCAACCCCTGTTTAATTATACGGTACCGAGGGCTCCCAAAGTGACGCACGAAAGACCTTTAAACCCTGTGTTCAGATCGGAGGTTGGCCGTCACGCCTCGGGCCCCGTTGCCCTGCCTCCGTCGGGGCCACCAGCCACAAAAAGCCAATAAGACCGCTAAGGGGCATCCACTCACCCCCTCTTTCTCCTCTCACTCATCACCATCACACCCCCCTAATAATCCCAAAGTCAATCGTCTAAACGCTTCGCCGATCGATCCACGCCCGCGCACGCAAATGCAACGGCCAAAACTTCGCACAACCCCACCCCCCCCCCCCTCGTGGATGGGTCAACCGCAAGCACCGATCAATCGGACAACGGGGCCAGAGACCGGCTGGCGTTGTCGCTGCTTCGGGCTTTCCCACGTGCGAAAATGCGCAACGTCGAAATGGCAAAAAAACCATACCCCAGAACCGGTCCCCATCCACCACCATCCCCCGGTCTAATTTGACGCCCCACGGCCCCCACCCCACCCCTCCCCGTGCCAGGGTTGAAGCCCTCGGAATCGGATTCGAAGCACTCACACTGGCAAGGCCTGCGGCTGTTTCACTCTTGAAGGACCTGGCGTCCTGTAACTTAAGGGTAATGTAATCAAACAACCTTCGTTTGCAGCAAGGCAGAGTTATAAACACTTCTCCCCGCGGGCATGCAATCGGATTACTGTACCTGCATTTCTTTAAAAGACCACCTGTGTTTTTTTTGGTGGCTTGCCGGAAACAAGCCGCTGCCACCTCGCAAATCGGTTCTGCCTCGGGAGGGAAACACACGGCTGGCTGCAAATGTGGCCTGCATGAATTATGTTCTGCAGGCCTCTACAATGGCAACTCGTTTCTTGGTTTTCGAATCTCAGCGAAATTCAATTTGTAGACCTTTTGATTGAGATCATTTGTCCGAACTGTTTTCATTATCAGCCTAAAGCCCAGTGGCCCATGTGGTTTTTTTGTTTGTTTGTTTGTTTTAACACTGTAAAGTTATCTTGCTAAAAAATTGGTTTTGATTGTTGTAACACTGGGAAGCCATTGCGCACATGCACGCGCCGGTCTTCGTATGGCTTTGAAATTAAATGTCCAAATATGGTCACTGCATCATAGGCCCTGTGCTGCGCTGTTTGTTTAAACTTCTGCGTCTCCTCCCCCCTCCGTTTGTGACAACAATGAGCTGTGCTTTGGAGGCACAGGGGTCGTTTGGGAACAAACTTAAAGTGGTGAAGATGGTCACGTAAAAAAAAGGAAGCTTGAGAAAAAAAAACACCAGGCTGTGCAACAAAAAGAAAAACTTGCCCAAATGACTCGTACATTCAAATATATTAACCTTAAATGAGCCTTCAAATTAAATAAATGGAACGATGCACTCGCGCACGCACAAAGTAAAAAAAAATTAAGTCACATTGGGAATGGTTAGTGTTTTTACGAGTCATGCAATGATGCTTTAAAAAAAAAAAAAGAGAATTAACAAAGAATGTTAAATTTAAGATCTTTGTGGAAATGAGTGTGGCTATTTTTTTTTCGTCTCAAAAATTTTTGGGTTCTCAAAATTGGCCATTTCGGGTGATGAAACTAAATGTATGAATTTCATTGTTGTATACGCTGGGTAAGTCGATTGTAAAAGTATGCAAAAAAGTTTGCATCGGTCTTTATCAAAATGTTATTCAAGGTAAAATGTGCTTGGATTACATACTATTGCACGGTTTAAAAGTTGGTAATTGTGCCCAAAAAAATATGGCATTAAAAAAATGCTTATACTTCGTTGATTAAACTGTATTGTATATTCCGATAATCGAATACAAATTTGAATGTCAGTGCAAGAGCCAATTTTAAATTACTTATCACTATTTTATGGGATGGGTTTCTTAAATTTTATGATGGCATTTTCTGTCCTCTCCTAAATACAAAAGGTTGTCATTGCATGCAGGATGTTATAGTTAGTGTGATTTTAAAAAGACTGGTTACTCTTTTTCCCAAAGTGGAATGCAAGCTTTAAGATTTTGATTCGTGTGGTTATTTAAATGATTAAATAGTTTAATAACCACCATCGCTGTGCATCGTTATGCACTCTTTACCACGATGACCTACCACTTACTTCCTGTGCCTTTAACTACAGCAATTAACCCCACGTCCCTACACCCACAAATTGGCCAATGGTGAGATGAAACAAAAAAAACCTAAAACAGAATGAATACAAAAGTAAAGGGGGAATTAAGAATACAAACAAAATAAACCAACAACGGCTGTAATAACAAACACCGGAATCTCATCAATTACTCATTGGTAGCAACAGTTTGTTCTGCATTCACTGTCAGCTCGATGCCCTCCACCGCATTTTCGGACGCCCCTTGCTTCTCCGACGCTGCCGGTTTGGCATCGGCGACCGCCTTGACTTCCGGGGCGGCCGCCCCGGCCGCCGGAGGATCCGCTTTGCTGTCGCTCGCTGCCTTGCCCTTCCCGTCGGCGGACGCCTTGCCCTCGTCGACCTTGCCTGGGCTCTCCGCCTCCGCCGCTACCGCCTCCGTCGCCGACTCCTTGGCCGGCGTGGCCGGCGACGTCACCACCGTCGGGGGGTTCGGCGGCTTCGCCGAGCCGCCCTCTCCGGCGGCTCCGGAGTCGGCCTCGGCTCCTTTCGGCTCCTCCTTCTTCTTCTTCTTCTCCTCTCCCTTGGGCTCCTCTTTGCCGCTCGCTGCCCCCTCCTCGGCCTTCGGCTTCTGCTCGTCGGGTTTGGCGTCGGCGGCCGCTTTGTCGTCGGCCTTGTCCGCGTCGGCCTTCTCGGCGCCCGGGGACTTCTTGACGCCGTCTTCGGCGGGCGAAGCGGCGCCGTCGGACGTCTTCCCGTCCTCCTTGCCCTCCTGCGCTTCCGTCTTGCTCTCCTCGCCGTTCTTCTCGCCCTCCTTATCCTTGGCCTCGCTCACATCGTAGCCCTTTTTCTTCTTGCTCAGCTTGCCGCCCATGGTGGTGCCGACGATGCCGGTCTGCGGGGGGGGGGGGGGGGGCAGTGGGCACAGCGGCAAGGTGATGGTGAGTTCACCGGCAGCGCCGTGATGTCAGCGCTCTCTCCATAAGGGCAGACTCAACAAACGATGCGCTTCACGTGTTGCACCGCATCTCGAAGGGTTTATCGTGCGAAACGAATGCCCAAAAGGTTTGCAACGTACGATAACAACCAATTACTGTTCAAAGAAACATGCGAACAAATAGGATTTAACTATATAATCTTGCTGGTGGCGCTTGACTCATTATAAGTTGAAGCACTGATCCAAGCTCTCACAAAACAAGGCCTAATATAAAAAAAAGGAAAAAATCTAATAATGGACAATGACTACGATAATTCAATAGAACAAAGCACACAAAGAAACACTGACATAGCGCAAGCTTGGATTTGCACCGAGAGATACAAATTGGAACACGGCTCAGAGGACAAATGCAAATTAGAAACGGTCATATAGACAATTTAAATAAGTAAAAGGGCTTGGGCAGGACACATGGCGAGAAGGGATGATGATAGCCGGTTGCCGAGACTAACGATGGCGTGGCATCCAATGGAGAGCGAGGATGTCTCGAGAGCACGGGACTCGCCGTGGTGGCGAGATGTTAACTCCCTCGCCTGGTATACGTGTGGGTTCGATCCCGACCCTGACGCCTACTGAATATTTGGAGTTTGCGCGTCTCTCTCACACCCGTTGTCGCGTGGATTTTTCTCCGTGTCCTCCGGTTTTTCCCTCCACACTTAGAATCAACGTGCATTTAGAGTATTTGGCTACGGAGATGGAGCAATAAGATGAATTTTTTTTCAGTTTTTTTCAGTTTATTTATTTTGGTATAGCCCTGTGAGCCATTCGGCTCTTGAATCGGGTGCAACCACAACAAACAAAAATACGAACAAGAAAACATCTTAAAGTGACGGTGCGACTGTGCAAACAAAAAATCCATGAAAAAAAACAGCAAAATATTCCTGAAAAAAGCACCGTACACCAGCGCTGTGTGCAAAAAATCCCAGTGGGATGCAAGTCAAACAACAACCACAAGAAAACTTAGATTAAGGCCATCAGTCTAACTCCGTACTACAACAAAACAAACATGTCCAAACCAAAAACTTTTCCAAATCACCAAAAACTAAAGCCATAATTGCAACGTAACAGTGATCACAGGGACTGTGACCGATTTTTTACAATAAACTACATAAATAACATGTAACACCAAATCCTAGAGCCATACCTGGCTGCATGAGTTTCTCCACAACAACAGAGTCATCAGTTGGAGTATCACATTTTTCAATGCACCTTTAAGATCAGCACGCTAAATCATCTGCAAGAGAGAGTTTGTGGCATGGCAGGACTTTGAGGGATGGTGTCGGTGTGGTGACCCCCTTCAGTGGATAGATCATGGTTCATGATAATTAGAATAAAAATTAAGCAACCGCAAACTCAAATATCAGTGATTTACTACTGACAATAATCACAATAATATATATTTTTAAAATAATTTGTATGGCCTGCAACAACTAAATTAACGTTCAGCCATTTCTTTTTACCACTGACAATGATGATAATCTTGTTCATGACAACCATCATTTTTATAATAATTTCATATGAAAATCTTTGCTCAGAAACAGCAAGCTCTACAAAATAAATGTCATTACATATTTACACGTAAATATTAAAAGCTACAACAATTATTTAATCAGCAAAAGGGGACTCAAAATTCGGCGTTTTGCTACTGATGATTAGTTTAATGGTGATAATTTCAAATTATTTAGTTCTGCGTATTCACTGGAGGTTGGGCCATCAACTTGCTACGTGAGAGAACCCAGTCTCATCACACGCCACTTGAATCCAAATGCAAACCGAAGATTCCAGCGGCGCTGGTTCAGCACTCGGATCCCTGGGCCACTTCAAAAAAACAATCACCATCATCAGCAGCCATGATCAAGCCATAGCTGGATGAAATGGCCTCCAAGCCCAAAATACCACAGTCATGTAATAAATAACAACAAAGCAAAACCAGCAGGATGAAAGAAGGTCCCCCTACTCTTAAGATCTAACATGTCAAGCGCGATTACAGAAGCTGGAAAAAACCACACACTAGAGACCACTCAAACTCTACGCAAGATAGTCCTGTCACCAACCTATTTAATGTACTGCCTGCCTATATTACAAGCACGTGGCTGCCCAGCAGAGTTAGCAGCTGAACCGCATGTCGACTCCATATATCCATGATCCACTAACCCCACCTCCCAAGTCACGAGATTACTGAGGCATGAATCACCACCATACCTGGGAATTGGAAATTAACTACGATATAATGCAAAGTGATGGTGATGACGCTTTTTAAATCGTTATAATGGATTGCCGATCATTTATTTTTGGTGGTGGTGGTAGTAGTAGGTCGGCGGTCGTAATGCTTGTGGTAACGATGGCAATGAAAGCGAAATTTATGGTTTTTAAAATGGCGATGAAAACTATGATCATGGTGATGATGATGAATGTGGCGAGTGATAGCGATGGTCATGGTAATGACGATGAATGTGCCGAGTGATAGTGGTGATGGCGATGGCTATGATGAATGTGGCGAGTGATAGTGGTGATGGCGATGGCCATGGTGATGATCATGAATGTGGCGAGTGATAGTGGTGATGGCGATGGCCATGGTGATAATCATGAATGTGGCGAGTGATTGTGGTGATGGCGATGGCCATGCTGATGATGATGAATGTGGCGAGCGATAGTGGTGATGGCGATGGTGATGATGAATGTGGCGAGTGATAGTGGTGATGGCGATGGCCATGGTGACGATGATGATGAATGTGGCGAGTGAAAGTGGTGATGGCGATGGTCATGGTGGCGATGAATGTGGCGAGTGAAAGTGGTGATGGCGATGGTCATGGTGGCGAGTGATCGTGGTGACGATGAGAGACGTTCTGAGTGATCGTGGTGGTGGTGGTGGTGATGGAGACGACAGTGGTGGAAGCTGCACTGGTAGCGATGGTTAAACAATCACCACATAAAACCCTTGCGCTCCGAATATGTAAACAAGTGAGTGAAAGGCCCACACGTCTCCATAATGAGAGACCATGCCACGGGGTGTCATCGATCCGGAGATTCTCACAATAATGGCTTTGTTTTATGTTTGACAGGAAAACATTTGCACGGTGATCTATGCCGATCAATTCCGGCCCGACTTCAATGGACAGTTAACACCCACGATTGATTGGGCCCACGTGACAGATACGAACCCCGATCATGCATACGCTTCTTTTGTATCGCACAAAGGCGGCGATTGACGCACCGAGGAGTTGCACACTGCCTCCCATCTCGCGTACGCAATTCCAGAGGGGCGATAAGATTCAAGTTTCACCGATCGAACCTTGGAACCCCAACGGAAACACCCAGTGCCCTCGCACAATTCTTGTGGCTGGTGGGTGGGTGAATGGCCGAGATTGGATCGCCCATCGCTGCTGCCGCCGCCACCCCTGCTACCGGACAAGATGAGCAAAACATTCGCGGGGTGTAAAAGCCACCAACTCAATGCGTGTAAATACATCTCTTGTTTCAAATATGAATCTTTCTTCCAAAAATTTATCTCTTAAAAGGTTAACATTTAAATGCATGTTTGGCAGCACAACGTCGCATATTCTAACATCGCATATCCAACCTGACCAATTTACCGTTCACAACCGGTTAAGTTTTTGTGCCCTTTGGAACCATCTTTTTCTATAGATGTTCACGTATCCAACCTTTTAACATTTGAGCATTTGCCTCGTTCCACCAGCGAGTCAGACACGTGACGTTTGACTGCAAGACGCACATTCAGTCCTACCATGTTGACATGCAGATCTTTAAATTAACTCAATGTAAGAAGCTTGACCCATATAAAGCAGGTCTGACTATGCTCAAGCTCAAAAGAGAAAACCTGTCCAGAACTTGCCTACGTAAACCAATTCTGCTGGGAAATGAACACAGAAATGCAAAGGGCAATCATCAGAAGCATTTACGATTCAAACTAGAACATAATTGGGCCTTAAGGCCCCTCGGCTACCATATAGCAAACAATGTCGAGACATCGTGTTGATTTCATTAGACCTCCTTTGCCAGTACCAAAATGTAATAATAGGGTTTTTCCCCTTTTTTCTGGCAACAAAACTGAAACCTTTTTACGAGGATTCATGTTGCTGCATTAACCACAATACGTGCAGTCAAAATGCAAAAAAAAACACACTATGATAATATATGATGCATTGTCCTTGAAACTGATTGGTCCACACCAAGGGATGGCTTTCTTTTTAGCATCGACCTGAATGGTGCTCGACCAGATGACGCCAAAAGGCCTTTTGGTAGCCGAGGGGCCTTTAGGCCCAATTATGTTCTAGTTTGAATCGTAAATGCTTCTGATTATTGCCAAAAGGCCTTTTGGCGTCATCTGGTCGAGCACCAATTGGGTCGAGGCTCAAAAGAAAGCCGTCCCTTGGTGTGGACCAATCAGTTTCAAGGACAATGCATATATTATCATAGTATGTTTTTTTGTTTGCATTTTGACTGCACGTATTGTGGTTAATGCAGCAACATTAATCCTTGTAAAAAGGTTTCAGTTTTGTTGCCAGAAAAAAAAGGGGGGAAACCCCCTATTATTACATCGTTTTGATTTGCAAGCCAAGCGAGTGGGGCTTTCGTAGGACACGTCCATAGAAGGTACGATTGCTCAATGGACGAGACTAGCGATGGAATGGCGGCGTGAGGGGATAAAAGCATGCCCGAGAATATGTCCACCGAGGAGATGGGAGCCCACTGGAGCGGCTCACTTACAGAAGAAACGAGATTAACCGTGACAGCGCAGCACCGCGCGAAATCGACTCGAGAGTGGAGAAGCTTCCTGCGGAAGTGGAGAGGACTGTGGGCCGACGATAATTTCAGACGCGCATATTAACTTTAAAAAAATGTTTTTTTTTAAAACCACAAAACGTATTGCTGGGTGCAGC